GCTGAGGACTCCAGAACTGGACACAGTACTCCAGGTGGGGTCTCACGAGAGTGGAGTAGAGGGGGAGAATCACCTCCCTCGACCCATTGGTCACACTTCTTTTGATGCAGCCCAGTTCATGGTTGGCTTTGTGGGCTGCAAGTGTGCATTGCCAGCTCATGTTGAGCTTAATTATCTTCTTATATAAAGTGTGTTCGTGTGACTCAATTTGAGAATCTTCTAACTTTTTTTTTTTTTTTTGCTTGTTTGAGTCAGACATAGTTTTGATACAGCTCAAAAACATTCTTGGTCAGTTTATGTAGGTTCTATAGTCTGGTTTGGCCTTAAATTCCACACTTTTGCTTCCCTGATTATTTTTTGTTTTCTTCTCTTTATTTATATTATGGTTATGATCTAGAGTTTACAAGATCCTGTGAATAAACTAACAGAAAAAGCAGAAAAGGAGGACCAGCAGACGGAGAGCACCAAATCAGTACAAGATCAGCAGAGTCAGTAAGTCACATGGCCTATATATTAAAATAATAAGTATTCTCGTCTGTAATCTGCCTTCTAGTTGCTAAACTCACCAAACATTTATAAATGAAAATATAGACACAGCTAGCCTGATCGCACTACCTAATAGTAAGTTTAATACAAGAATTCCTGACATGTTGTAATGTGTACATGAAAACTAATAAAATTTATGGTGAAATTAAGAGCTCTAAAAAGACCCATTAAACCTTTATAATTTTTTCATCTTTCCTAGCCTTCTCTTTATTTTTCGGCTTTTGCTTCTTTTATTCTTTAGTAAAAGAAATGGTAAACAACTGCACATGGGAGACAATATACGAGCATTGTATTTCTCCCTTCAGCAGCATCTCCTTTCACTTGGGAATAGGATATGGATTCCTGATTGCTTTGAGCAGCGATTAGTTTTTGTAATGTATACAGCATTGGTTAGTAATCCAATGAAGCAGTAGGTACTTAGTAAAAAGTACATTTAAGTGAGCTGATGCTATCAAGGTTTGAGTTACCTGTAGCTCTGAGGTGAGAGAGACTTATGAATGGGCTGCTGTGGGGAGAGGAGAACAGGAGAACGAGATGCGATCCCTCCTCTACGGGACCATCAGGATTCAGTTGCGAGGAGATGCAACATTGATACAATCCTGCTGCCACCTGTTGTTTTGACTGTCTCTGGTTAAATGAAGCACCCAGCAAAGGATCAGTTGTCAAAATGCAGAGAACAGCTTGACTGATAATTAGTGGATTTTGCTTGGCTATTTATAATAATGGTTTTTCAAAGAGTTCAGTTTTCCAGTTCTTTTGCTTGTTTAGATTCAGAACCACTGACCAAAATCAGTTTATAAACTGGTCAGGTTTGGTGCTAAGCAGATTAGAAAGGACTTGGCAAGTACTATTTGGCAGGTAGTTGTTTTCATAGCAGTTCCTTGAATCTGCTGCTTCTTGTGACAATAATAAAGAAATTAATAAACAATTGTTTTCCTCAACGTTAAATCATGCATTCATTCTAGAATCTTATATTCATGCAAGTTGTGTTCATGGGCACCTACCAGCAAATGCATCAGATGCCATATCATGGCTGTACTTGTTTTTATTTATGGATTATCTTTTTCCCTCTGAGGGGAAAAATATGTCCTCACCATTTTGCTGTCTAAAACAAACCATAAATTAACATCTAAGATTCTAGAATAATTACACAAAAAAAAAGCTTTTACAATCCTCATGAACATTCCATTCACAGTAAACATTCATTGTAATAGAATTTGGCATGAATCTAATTTTCCTCCACTCCCCACAAGCCTATCCTCAAGTGCAGGGGAGGTGACTCTTCCTGTCCTATCACTAGAGGAGAGGAGGAATGTGCCTACACAGTCGTCTTCACCACCGCGTCAGCCTGTGGCTGCTTCACTCTTTGCTGGTTGATGACTTTACACAAAATAATAGCAGATAGAAAGTAGATATTCTTCATTAAAGAGATTACCTTTGTATAAGAAACCACAGGTTTTCTTTTATTTTTCTGCCAAGAGCTTTTTCATCGTCACTGCTGATTTGGTTTTTTTTTAGAAATCTGCTGACATGGGACAACACTCATCTAACTCTTGTTTTTAATTAGTTGCTGTGAAACAGAGAAGTGCAAAGTGGGGTGGTTTTGGTTTTGGGGTTTTTTTTGGAACAGTTGTACCTCCTTCACAATAGTTATGAAAAGCCATATAAAAAAAAATGTAAAGCAGAATACACTATAATTTTCATTACAGAGATTTAGTTAGGTTAAAAAAGGAAGGGTGGTAGGTTTTGATAGTTGGTCTTCAATCTAATTTTGGTTTTCAACAGACTTCTGACGGTGAAACAATAAAAGTTAACAAACCAGCATATACAGCAAATGCAAGAGTCCATCTGAATTACTGTTTATTTGTTATTGGTATGATTCTGTAATGATGTGACCAAAAAGAAAAAAATATATTATTATTTTATAGCCTGAGAATTATTTGCTCAATTTTTTTCTTATTCTTTCAAATGAAGGTTGATTTCATTAGATGAGGAGAGCCATACCAAGGAATCAAACTATTCAGGTATTTTATATCATGTTATCATAACTTCATAAATGCTGCAATACATGTTTTTTCATTTTTATTTATTTCATATATGTTCAGCGTCACCCAGCAAATCTCTACAAATGCATAAAACTTAAGTCCGGGAAGGTCTGTTAAAACTAATCTCTTACATGTTATATCCCACTGCATTTCATTCAGTTACGCTCACATAGGTCAAATAGCTTGTCTTCAAAAGCAAAATTCTTGCCTTGGGCATGTCTCAAGGAGAGGATCTACAGATTAGTAGGTGTCAAGACAAGGAAAGTATGCCACTTAGATTGTGAGTTTGTTCCAGTGATTAAACATATACTCTGTTAAAGTTAATTAATTCAGTGAAGCTTCTGCCCAAAAGCTAGACAAAGTCATATTCAGCTGCTGACAATGACCTGATGGGTTGTTATTACCCAGTGACACAGCCAGGCTCTAATTGGAGGTGAGCAGTGAAAGAATGGGAGGCAATTGACACAAGTGACAGGAAAGGAGATTCTGATTACATACTAGGAAGAAAAGTGTTTACAATGAGGGTGTTGAAGAGCTGTAAAGTGCCTGGGAGGGATGTGGAATCTATTTATCCCTGGAGATCTTACAGACTTCACAGGACACATCCCTGTGGAACCTGATCTAACTTCATAGCTGACTCTACTCTGACAATGGGCTTGGACAAGATGACTCCCAGAGGTCTTTCCAACTTGAAAAATGCCATGGCCTATAATATATCTTTTTCTACTAAATTAATGGAGAATCATTTCAATAAGTGGTGTTCCACATGAAGATCCTTAAAAGGTACTACTTTAAAATCAGGGCTCTTCTCAGATCTTCATTTCAGTAGGCTAACCACATTGATGTCTGGAACATCTTCTCTACTCTTTTATTTTTGAAGTTTTTCTTTCCATTCCACTTTACAACACCCCTTTTAAAATGTGAAATATGTGACCGGGCAATACATTTCTGATGTTGGTCTCTCCTGTTTTGTTTCTAGAGGGTAAAATCACATTCCTGTTTCTGTATCCAAAAATTATAACTCATTTTGCAGCAACATTGAGTTAGAAGCTCACATTTTAATTTGTTGTTTACAAAGACTCAGTTCCTTTTGGTCACAGCTTTCCAGGACTCATTCATCCTTTCTGCAGCATGGCTTATATTCCTTATTCCTTGATATATAGCTAATGACTTAGTGGTATTAAATTCTCCCAGCTCTGAGTACAGAAACTGAGTGACTGGCCTGAATGACCACCTCTACTAATCTGTTAGCTGTTTGCACATTTTTTCAAGAGCGATTTTGTGTTTACTTCCAAATGACTGCTAAAGCCATTGACCAGCGATGGATATAACACTAAACCTTGCAGATCTAAACTAGAAACACTTCTACTTTGCAATTATTTCTCCTAACAACTGGGTTTTGACATCTGTTAGTTGTCGTGTTCCTAATCCATTCAATATGTTCATTATAGATATTAAATGCAGTGCAAACTTTCTAGCTGGAAGGCAATGCAGTGCAAAGACAAGTTGTTTCTAAACAAAAATCTTTACCAAATAAAGCTCATAGTTTTATCAAAGAATAAAATTAGTTGGGTTTTTTTAACTAGGTCTGTTTTCCATAAAAACACCTTTTATTAGAGGAGCATTTATTGTGCTTTTGCTGAATCCCATACTGAATGGGATTCGGTTCATGTTTTGCCCAAGAGTAATGGTGAGCTACCAGCCCATTGTTACCTACAATTACTTGAGTCACCCTATTAATGGTTGTTGTTGTTTGGGTGTTTTTTGTAAGAATGACACAATATTAGGACTTTTCCAGTGTTTCGAAGTTTCACCCCTTTTGCAGTTAATTAGATCAGGTATCTCTTTGACAAGATATTTTAATATTCTTGGATACAAAGTCTAACTCATTTTCTTAGCAGATGTTTTCTAGAATCTCAGTTACTTATGGGCTGTAAAATATTTCACCATCGTCCATAATATAAATACCTTGTTCTGTCTCTTTCACCATCGCCCCTAGAAGGAACTGAAGTATTTTGGAATACTTCTGCCTGCTCTGCTAAACTTTTCCATGTCCATATTCTAGTGAGTCTGTGCCATTGCTAAGATTTCTTTTTTCTTAAAGTACTCTGTACATAATAAAGTAATACAGATGTAGTGCTACTAGTGATGGAGCTGTGTCTCTTCTTTGTTTTCCTCATAAACTACTTCTACTTCATAACTTCCAAATTTTTTATCACTTCCTCTGCATTTTACCTTAATATACTATGGATGTTTTTAAGATTGGCTTCATCACATTTACCCCTGAACTGGGGCAGGCTTTCAGCAACAGCTGTACATTTTTCCTTTTTACATTATGGAATTGTGGCTATCCATATCGCACCTTGCGTGAACTTCTCTTTCTGATTTTCCCCCCCCCCCTCTGCCAGTCAGTTTAGGCTTGGGCTTTTCCTGTTTAGCTTTGTGCATTGTCCTTTTGTGGAAGCATTGTGTATATTCGTCCATGTATCTTTATGCCACTCCTCTCTGTATCTATATAGAGTGTAATCACACACGATCATGGATCCTTAAATGACAAGTTGATTCTAATGCTGGTAGAACATTTCTGTCATTGTCTCAGCAAAGCCTTGTTAAAATAATACGATTCAAACAGCAAGCTGTTCTATTTCATTTAGTTCTGAACACACCTTGAAGTTTCTCTTGAAAGGGTTTGGCATTCAATTTTTAGTCCCCTGTAGAGAATTTTATTTCTCCTTTCCAGCCTCAAGTTTGAGCTGAACTGCCTTTCTGTTCTGGCAGTCCTGTGACTGAGCCCTTCATTTGCCTTTAGAGCTACAGACTTAGTTGTCTAGAAGCTAGATTTCCTCAGCAGTCAATGGAGAGAGTAGCAGGTAACTCATCCCTCCTGTTTTGCTGCATATGGGATTAATCACCTGAGGGAGGTGTCTTTCTCTTCAATGATAGACAGGATCTAGATGATTGTTTTGAGCCCATGCTAATCTATGAAGTTCACTCAGAACTTAAGGTAGTTACAGTTGGGGCATGGTGGTGTTTTTTCATCTCTGATAGCCTATGACCCTCAGATATACATTTCCCCCTGTTGGTCCTAGCCCATTTATTTCCCTGCAGGAGAGGAGGTGCTGTTACTTATATCCTCACCTGGGGTGCTTTGGGGGAAGATTCGTTTTCCTGATTCCCAGAGTTGGTGTCGTGAGAAAGAACATATTGTCAAGGAAGGTGATTTAGGGAGTGATGAGATCGTTTTAGGAGAGATGAGAGCACTTTCGTGCTCTCTCATGGCCTGTGTAAGTAGAAGCTTCTAAAAGAAGTGTCTCTGCTTCTGGAGGACAGCAGAGACCTGCCTGACTCTTGCAGTTGCCACATTTGGGTGCAGTCAGCGTGGAGATGGGCTACGGTGGCAGGCGGTTGATTCAAAGGAAGATCGCCCTCCCCCCCTCCCTCCCCCAGGTTAGTATTCAGGAATTTGCCTCGTTTCTTAGAAATGCTTGTATCTTGGGTCTTTCATCCGTTGTGGCCAGCTTCATTTTAAACATGAATACCAACAACTGTTGCATGTTGATCTTACAGTGACATTGTTTATAAGCATGGTCTTGTGCCAATGCAATTTGACATGTTTATGGATTTTGATTACAGCTGATAATGGCAAGGATGTCATATCTACATTACAAGGAAATTGTAACCACAAGCAGAACTCAGGTGAAGAGACTTAAGAAAACTACCTTTAGATGTGTACATACTGATAGTCAGTGTACTGCAGATCTTCCTTTATTGCTTTTCTTTTTTCATTTTTTTCTTTTGCTTTTGCTTTTAGGTGCCATAGATGACTTATTAGACCTGCAACCTGAAGAAAATGGTATGAAACATTTGTGCATGTCTGCTTCATCTGCTTCTTAATTACAAGCACCAAGTATAATTTTGATCTTACATGTTAATTGTTTTTGTAACCTGAAAGGTTGAAGTATTTCTGAATGAAATTTTTCTGCTGCAATATTTAAATAATGTTAAAGGAAACTCATCTTCCTATACATGCAGAGGCACTATTCCTGATGTTATAATATGAAGTAAACCTTACTGGGGATAAAATGCATTGTAACAGGTGATTCAAGGTTAGGTATACTAGGCTATATTGCATTTGCCCCATTGAAGTAGGTTCCACTGTAAACCTTACCCCTCCTATAACATTTCACAAACTTTTCTTTTTGGATCTTTAGTTGTTGTATCACAACCCTTTTGCAATATGCTAGTAACCACAAGATTTTATATCAGAAATTTACATATCACAAACAAATTATTTTGTCCTCTTAAAAAAAAAATAAAAGACCTGGTGGCTTATTTCAGGCAGGTAGTTAATTAAATCTGTTGTGCTGTTCTCATATACATGTGCGAAAGCAGTCTTGCATTCCAGGCTCTACTCCTATCCTTATGTTTTTGTTAGGTCAGTGGCAGCTCAAGGTTGGTTTTTTTTTTTCCTAAAGGGTTCTCTTTTACCGCGTAATACATGAAGGATTGGGCCCAAAGTTTTATATTGAGTTTTCATATGCAGTAAGAGTCTTTCATATAGTTTTGCATTTGCTCTTCAGTCATTTATGAAGAATGAGTAAAAAAAGCCTCAGCAACAGCAAAAACAACTGTGGCAACTCAAAAAGCAAGTAGTAAAGCAGCAAAGAAAAAAATGCCTTTGCGCGGTTTACTCAGTCAGACTGAGAGTGTAATTTGGGGTATTTAAGCCACTGCCTTCATGGTGGGTAAAAGGGAGAACATTTGCAGACACCTTAACTTTGGATTTGCCACAGGCAGTCAGTCTCTTGCACTGTGGGGAAATCACCCATGTGGGGAATCGCCCATGAAAGCAGAAACAGAGAAGGTTCCTCAGCTGCCTGTGCAGAAGCAGCCCTTATTTGTGGATGGATAAGGTAGTGATGACTTATTTTCTGTGGTTAATAAAAAAGGTCAGTGCATGTCTGATAGTGGCCTTTTTATTTCTGGTTTTCCCCTTACTCAGTTCTATTGGACCTTCTCAGTGGAGACAGATAATGCATACAATTACTGATCATTCAAGTTTAGCTATGTGAGTTAGAAGGCTATTTTTTTTCTTTAGTCAAATAATTATATGAATACAAAGCAGTTTGTGGGGCAGCTACATCAGATTAAGGATAGATATGTTAGTGTTACAGTATCAGCCATCTACCCTAATACTACACGCTAGCTAGCTTTAGGCTAATGAATATTGTATTATTTTAAGTGCAGCGGTACAGTTAGAGGTACACTTTTGTGTGTGTTTCAGAAGGAAGTCTTTATACTGTGTTTCCGATCATGTGTCATTGTAAATATTTTTAGTTTCTCTTAGCATTTATGTTTTTTTTAATACCAGCAAAGCAGGGCATGTTTGCAATGAAATATGATCATTGTTACAGGCTTGTTCAAACAACTGGAAAAAAGAATATAGTGACATTGTTTTTTCAGTGTTTTATTGGGAACTTTGAGGGGGTTTTTATGGACATTTATAAGGTTAGGGGCAGCATGTGCAGACAAAAAAAGATTTTGACTGTGAAAATGGACAGTGAAAACAGGAAAAATAGTAATGGAAGATCTACGGGTGAGGTGAGAAAGTGCATATCATTCTAGTGATCTAGCAGAGATACCACATGAGTAATATCTTGATAAGCAAGACTGGATTCAAGATAACCTTTTTTGCAAACTAGAGTAGAACTTACTTCTGCTTACTCAAGGCAGCATAAGCACCACCCTATCCTCCCCTCCCCTGGGTGCACTGTCCCTGCAGGAAGATCAGAAAGACCGCTGAGACAGGAAGTGTGTTACTCCTCTGATGTCTGGTGGTCGTACGCAATACAGCAAGACCTAACTGCTCTTCAGACGTAAAGCGATGTATTCTGCTTTCTCCCCCAGTAAAAATGGGACTGCTGCGGCGGGATACCCAGATGAAGTAGAGCTTTGCTCTGAGCTGTGTTGCTGCAAAGCCTTTGTTCCATTATGGTAAATGTCATTTGTGGTTAGGTACAGTGCTGGCGGTATGCCGTAGCAGATCTGTTACTAATGATGCTCTCTTTGCATCTCTCCCTTGTAAGCCTTCCGAGTTCATAAGGGGCCTCCTGAAAGCACCTTTGAGATTGTGATGCCCCATAGAGATCAGAGTTCTTATGTGCCTTTGAAATAGCAGGTGTCTTTTCCCTATGGAAGGATTTACCTCCTGCCTCACCTGCTGAATAGCTAGACTTGAGGGAATTGTGGGTGCTTGGACAACCTTAACATTCTTTGCTGTTTATCTGAAGATGGGAAAGCAGCCTGAAAATGCATGAGAACCAGTTGTTTTCTGTGGTATTTTAGTTACAGTCTAGTAGGAACATCAGGAGAATTGACTTGTTTGTGATGTTTCTGTTTCTAATTTTTGGTCCCTATCAGGGAGTACAGAGGTATATAAAAACGTGAGTTAGAAAGGAGCTGAAAATCAGCGCTGACTTCAGTAATGAATGAAATCCTTATGTGTTGATTTATTTGTTTCTTAGTACGTTGGTGTGTATGTTGACTCATCAGCCTATTTTAAAACCCAGTTTTGTGCTATTTTTTCCTCTGACTCAACTGCAGACATTTCATTATGAATTATTACAACTATTAAAAGGGGACTTGCCTGAGAAGGCTGTTGCATTTAAATAAAATGTCCTGTTGCAACCACTTGGCTGTTATCGATCTTTTATCCCAACCCAAAAGGGTTCAAAACATCTTTGCAAGTTGTATGCAACTTGCAGAGCTCAGCTGATCTACCCAAACTTTGGAAAACTGAAGTTGCTTCTGTGCCTTACCACAGGTTTGAAAGGAGCATAATTAAGATAAACTGATCTGGGTTTCAGCAACCTAACATTATCAACGTTGTTAACCACCTGCATACTCCCACAGTGAAGCTCTAAATGTTTCAAAGTAAAATAACACTTGGGGTTCCTTGACAGTTCTTTCACTCTCCAAATATTTTGTAAGCTAGAGAAAAGGATTATGATCCTGGTTGCAAGCTTCATATATTTTATATAACACCTTAATATTTCTAAATGAGGAAAAGTTGTTTTTAAGGAGTAATGGCCCGAGTTATCTAGAGCTTCTTCAGTTGCAGTTCTGGTCCTAGACAACCTAGCAAGGGGAACCAGAAGGAAAGTGGCCCCAGTTATTTCTTAGCAGCCTAAGAGAGGGGAAAAAAATGTTACTACAGCATTAAACAGTGTGGAAATCTCACTCTGTGTAGAGTAACCTGTTCTCATTGGGAAATACCCCAATAATTCAAGCATTGGTCATAAAGGTCATCTTAAGTATGTTCTCACAAAGTTCTAGAATAATCTCTGACTCTTATTTATTATCAATTTATACCAATCTGATTTTTTGGCAGTTTTATATAAGGCTTCAAAAAGCAACATAAAAGTAGTCTTATCCAATGTTTTAAATATTAGACTATGTGATGATTGTCGTGTGATGTTTAATAGATTTTTAAGCTTACTTGCTCTTCATGAGAAATGAGTCTTAACAGCAGTGAGGTTATCAAAGATAACCAAAGAATTATTTGTTGCATAAGGTACAAGCCCAGATTTCCAAGAGAATTGGGTCTAAAAGAGAAAACAACAGATATTCACACAAAAATATTGCATTGCACTTAACGTACAAAACCTAAACTGGACACTTTTAAAAGGCTCCTTCTTTTCTTTTTCTAAAAAATGATTTGACTTGACTCTCTTGTTCTGAGACAGCTTCAAAGGATCAGTTTGTGGGGTCCTTGGAGTCAGAGCTTGGTGATAAGGATGACATGGTATTACTGAATGAGATCCTCAACACTTCCTCCTTGGACGAAGGGGAATTCAGCAAAGAGTGGACAGCTGTTTTTGGACAGGCTGCACTTTCTGATCTCACCATGAACTCTTCAGCTGGAAATGTGGAGAACAGTTCATCGTCTGTGGCACCAACACCGTCAGGCTACTGGCCCTCACAGCTGTTAGACCAAAACATGAATGACTTGCAGTCGTCTTTAGATGGTGAGAGCTCATCTTGTTCTGTTAGCATTTTGTGTTTGGTTGTAGGTTCTAGAGGATGGCTTTCTGCTGTGTAGAGGTGTGCTGACAGCTTATGTTGTGCCATAGCTGTAGAAACCCTGAGGTTAAAGCAGAGTGTGGCCTGGAGGAAAACATGTGAGTAGCATATTTGTTTTTCTAGCCCTGTTCATTCGGTGTTTGTGAATGAAGTACCTTAAAACCTGAAGTCAAAATTACTGTCTTGAATATTTTCCTTGAGCTTCCTGAAATGTTCTGTAGGCCTTTGAGACATTTTTTTTCTGTAACAGCAAATCTGTTTGAGCGGGCTTTACTGTTTAAACCACAACTGCTGTCTCTGTTAAGGGGCCAAAGAACCAAAAATGATCACTGTATTTTGTCTGGGAATACTATTTTTAAACAACTTAGTGAAAATCAATTGCATTCATTCATTTTCTTTTTCTTTCAATGCATGCCATACTGTTGCGTGTAGGAATATGGGCAAGGTAGAATGGATTGTCTCATCCTAGCAACCATACAGGTGGATTCCTCTTGTAGGCTGGTTATTTACTGATGCAACTCTTTCTATTCCCTGTCTTCTATGCCGTTCATTTTCTTGGGTTTTCCAAGCTGCTGCTGCAGGGAGAGGAAAGGATGGAGGGGAACTAGGGCAGAGCTTTCTTGCTGCTGCTGTGGCCTTGAGGAAGGGAGGAAGGAAGGCAGGCTGGTGAAGACCAGCCAACAGCAAATACCTTTGTCTTTCCCACAGTCTAGTTAGATTTCTCCTAGGGCTTTGCAGCTGGAGGAGGAGCTTCTCTTTTTGGGCTCTCTCCCGAGTCATGTAAATCTCCTTTGAGGAAAAGTGATGTAGGAAAGACTAGCAGACTGATTCCATCCTAAAGACTACTTCTTGGAAGCCATGCAACTGGTACAATCATACATGATGTAAAATGACCTGTGACATTTTGGCAAGAATAAAAAAGTCAAATTTACTTTATAATTAATACAGTTACCACTACCACCCCTAAAGCAAAATATTTGGATTCACTGACTTCAGTGCTTAGATGCAAACTGGGCGAGTGACATTTGCAATAATGTGCAGTTTTAGATGTATTTTTATGATGAGGTACGTGCATATCTAAGTATGATTGATAGAGTGAAGAAGGGACTGGAAGACTATAGGATTTGACCTCATAAAATATGAGCTAAAAAATTAATGAGGTTTAGTCATTGCATTGTCAAATTAAACAGTTTGTGACCAGAAGCAAACATGGTATCTATTGAAAGGGGAAAAAGGAACAATGAAAAACACCTTTCTTGATATAAAGAAATAAGCAGTTTTTAAGCAAATTACTGAAATAGCAACAGAAATATTATGTGATTTTTTTTCAGAGTTTTTACATGTTTTTAAATGTAAATATGTTTTTGAAAGAAAAATATTTTTTTAGGTGTAAATGGCAAACAGGGCTGGGTATCCTTTGTGAGGTGGTTGCTAGCCTTCTCATTTGCACAAGCCACTGGCATTGGCTACACTGTTATCACTTCAAAATCAGAATTTGGATATGTTGCTTTAAAGGAACACTAGAAATGGAAAATCTGTTCCAGTCAACATGGTATCCCAAAAATCTCTTTGAATAAGAAAAAAAATAAATATGTATTGGAAGAATAAAATATGTTGGTGTTTCCAAATGGACCTCCAAGGTTTTGTCAGAAGATCATGGTAATTTATCTACTGGCATTTGAAAAGTCAGAGCTAATCAGCTGAATAATCAGCATGTTCCCAGATGACTCTAATTGCAAAGTAAAATGCATTTGAACTAATTTTCATAGACTAGTTTTCTTTTTAAGTTTCTTGTTTCTTATTTTTTAACAGAAAGTCTGTCCATTTTATACCTTGTGAGATCTCAACTTTAATCTTAAACTGCGTTTAATTTCACAGCACTTCTTTCATTATTTGGCCATGTCAATAAATTTGGAAACAGACTTTTTTTTTAAAAAAAAAATCAAAATACTAACTGCAATATAACATATCTAAACATGCAAGTTAAAAATATTAGAATATATTAATTATGGATATTTTTACTGAGGGTTTGTGATACATATCCTACACTTTTTTCCCCCTATCTGGTAGGATTGCTTAATAATTATTCAGTGTGAGGTGCTACACTGGAGCCTCAATGTTGCACACTTCCTGTGTGAATTTGGCCTTAAGACCATAAAGATTCTTAAAACTCACATGCTTAACTTTAAGCACATTAACTTTTCTATTAACTTCAGTAGGATTACTTACTTATTTTACGTTAAGCACACTCATAAATCTCTGGGGCTTTGTTTTCTCTGTGCCTCAGATCTTAATCTGTAAAACAGGCACAATACTATGCAGGTTATAAACTGTTATGGTCAGGAATTCCCAGCTTGGAGTTTTCTCTGGGTGTATTTATAGGTAGGATCTAGCACAATGGGACTTTGAATTGCTATGGGACTACCAGGTGCTGGCTTAAAAGATATATAAATGCATGTGTGTGTGTGTATATATATATATAAAAGAAATAAAGCATGATCCCAACAAATCTTATAGATTCCCCTCCAGATACAGCTTTGTAGATTGGTTGCCTTTCCACTTATTTCCCAGGGAGCATTGGCTTTCTCTTTTGTGATGTTTACGGCCTCGTTTACCTATTTATTCATACCATTGAGGGCTCCTCTGTATCTTACCTACATGTGCATATATTCTAGTTGGTACGAAAATGTGCAGCTCACCGTTTCCATTTCTAAATTTAATTGTGGTAACATTTGTGAAGACACTAGCTGAAAAGTAAGCTGTTTGGTTTCCTTGCTGTCTCAGCAATAATCTTTTGTCTAGTCACGTAATGAAGCCATCCTGTGAACAGGCAAACCAGAACAGGCTTAGGGCCAACAACTGCTTTCAAATTGATAGGCTGCAGTTTGTTGTCAAAAGGCAAAGTTGTCCTCTGTAGCTCACTGTGAGTGGACACTAAAAACATAATTCATGAAAGTATTTAAGAAAAATTCTGTGTCTGTTTTCCCAGTACCTTCATAGATGCATAAGTAAGTTCATTACAAAAGCATCACACATTTTGTGGAGCATTTTCAGTTGTATGTTTTTGGTTTTAGGTTCTTTTTGTTTTCTGAGCAGTACTTGACCTAGCTGCATTTCAACAGAACAGAGAACCAGACCACAGCATCTCTGATGGATGTACTGCTTTCCAAGCCTTAGTCCAAGGACTCAGAAGGAGGGCTCCAAAGGAGTTAACTGGTCGGTGGTATTTCACTCTGTGGTCTGCCAGTTGCATCAGTGTAAACGAACATCAGTGAGGTCTCAAGAGACCCAACTCCTGATCTCACTGAAGTCAGTGGGACTTGCACGGACGTTTCACGGCAGTGCTTCCCTTCATTTCTGTGAAATTAGGATTTGGCCCTATTTGCTTAAGTCACTTAATTTATCCGTTGCCATCCACTGACATACGAAAACACTTTCTCACAATACATCTCCAAACAGACAAAAGCGTTACAGTTTTCTGTAGTTGTGCGTAATGTCCTCTGCCATTCTTCTCTTTTGTAACACAAGCAGAGAAAACGCCTGGAAAAGCATATCATTCTGAAGTGTTAATGCCATATTTTTTATTATTTATTATTCAGATTTGCTTATTTGAAAGATTAAACTCAAATCTCATTTTCAGGGGGCACAGACTAGCTCATAAACTTTTATCACCTTTGCCTAGAACAAGTATATGTGAGCCCTCTGCAACCAGATTTTGAAGAAGTTTTTGGGTTGTTTCCTTAGAGATACAGAGGATGTTTGTGGCTTTAAATTTCCTTCCTAATTCATGTGATTTTATAGAAAGACTCTTCTTGCCTCATTTGATAACATAGCTTAGGCTTCAGACCTTTTATAGTCAAAGTAAGATCATAGTGATGAGAATAATCTATTAGAGAGAGGAAGAGTTTATGTGACTTCCGTAGCTGTTAGAGTAACTGTAAGGACACTGGGTATCAATACCTGACAGGGGTCTCAAAAGAGGAGAAAGTAAGGGAAGGAAGAACAAAGAGAGTAGAAAAGGATGTGAGAGAATGAACTTGTAGAAAAAAAAGAGACTGAATAAGGAAATGCTAGCTGTGTGCACAGATGAATATCCTGTTTGTGATCCTGCAAAATGAGATATACTAGATCTGTGAGATGGATAGGGAATTGATAAGGCCACACTTAAAGATATTATTGAAATGAGAAATACAACCCCCAGTTCTCTGCTAAAGCATGAGAATTTAAATATCTTAAGCCAGGGACAGAAATGTTCCACTTTTTCCTAATATGTTTCCATGGTACGCCACCCCTAGTTCATTTTGCCAGCCTAGCTCATCTGGCCTCATTAACTATATTTATGATTATTCTTTTGTGGCTACGGAATATGCATGTCAGAAAAAAAAAAATTGTGAATAACCAGTTTTATTTTTTCCTGCATAGGTATTCTTTCCCTGCTGAGAAGAGCCTTTCAAATGAAGAACAAAAACCTACTTATTTTAAGTGAACATGAAGTAGTGCATCTTGAATGTAATTTTTCAAAGTGTTTTTCAATTAATTACTTTTTTTCAGAATTAATAATTTCAATATCAATTAAAATTGTAGGATTTCTAAATATGTTTTTTCTGGAACAGCTGATGAAATGAAAGTCTTTGGAACTGTAAAAGTAGACAAAGGTGGAAAAAATGTTTAGTATGTGTGATATTTTTGCCCAAGTGTAAATCATATTTTTCCCTACGGCTATGCTTGACTTGATTACTGTACTGGGCTTTCTGTGAATAAGTATTAACTGTGATTGGATAAAAGAAACAAGACTAAAATCTTTTTTAGCCAAACCAAAGGTTTGAAAAGGGTACAGTGCCTGAAAATGGAGATGACGAAACTGATCCACAGATACCTCTTCTCAAGGATGTTCCTTGTCTGCAGCATCTAATAGCTGATTTTCTTGTGTATGAGGAAAGATGTGAACAGCCATAACCATAAACATAATATTCTGCTCCGTCATCTGGGGAGAGCATTGTGCTGCCAGACAGTGGGATGTTGGAGTTAAAGTAATTATTCCTGCTAATGCTGCTGTATTATTGAATTGTAGGATGGGCACCTAACAGTGTGAGCCCACCGTCTATACCACAGCCAGCACAGAAACCGAACAGCCTGAATGTGAATGCTAACAAGACACCCATGAAAGGTGATACAGTAATGTATTTTTTCAGTTACTTTGCTTTTCCATTTTAGCTGTGACTCTTGTATCTTTCTAGTCTTCTCAGTTACTCTATCATAATAAAACCTATTTTTGTAGGAAATGTGGAAATGTCAAGAATCATGTGCTCACTAATGAATTACTCTGTTTCAGCATTGATATGTGTATGATATGTGTGTGTATGTGTATGTTTTTGGTAGGCTTCAGAGCTAGTAGTATGTCAAAAGAGTAATTTGCTACATAATGAGGGATCTGGAACTACAGTTTCTTTTACTACTTTAATTTTGAGTCACATAGAATAGCATCTGCGTGCACTTTGTCTAAGCTAAACAGTGTTTTGAAGCTCTAGGAGGACATTGTGGCTAAAATACAGGCTACTGATAAGGCAGAAGTGCCCTAATTGCAAATTTTGTTGATAACATACATCATATGAGTAATCATCTGTTTGAAACTTAATTCACTTATTACAACCGAGACAAGAGTGCATAGTCCTGCAATCTATTGAGACAAAACGCCGCTGATTTTGATTTGGGTTTCCTGGATAAGCGAACCAGAAATATGTTGAATCCGTATTGCCAGTTTGTAGCCTATTCTGTGCATTTGCATTCAAACAGAAGCTACATCAAAGATGTTCAGTGCAGAAGAAAGGAACAATGTGTATTCCTTCCCCTGCCTTGTGGGTTTAAGACTGACATGTTTCAGCCCAGCAGAAAAGGAGGGTTAAGACGTTTTGGAAACTGTTTTGGAAATGAGTGTGATGCCACAGCTACAGTACCTTCACCAGAAAAAAGGAACAGCCTTTAGCTACTTTAAAATCTGTGTTTATGAAAGTGGCAGATACTCCAGTCTTGCAGACACAAAAGATGAACGTCATGCCAGGAGGAGCCTATTTTCTCTGTAAATTCCTTGTTTCACAAAGAATGCTTTCATGCAATGTTTTCTCTCTGAGTGGAAGATCACATCTTATTTCATGATCAATATCATGCATGTTAATCATAGGGTCACAAAAAACACAGCAAGTGGTGATGTACCTTCTTTATAGCAGACAAAGTCACCTCCTGTTTAACTTGAACATCTGCCCTTTTCGAATAAGAGAAGGCAGGAGACCTCTGTGACACCTATATGTCAATATAGACACGTAGGTGCAATAGTCCAGCTGCTGTTGGAACCCATTCCTGGTTCACATGTTGTTATACCCATCAAAAAATGTACTTGGGACTGGCTATCAAATGTACCTCCCCTCTCTCCAGCCAATACCTTCCCGTTAAAGCTTCATTCCAGATGAGTAGTAACCTTGTGTGGTCATATACAAGAGAAACTGAACAGTCACATGAACTGGATTTAGGCAAAGGAATTTAGTCCTGTAAGAGAGGTTGAAAGTAAAACTTGCCTTTGCTTTCCTTTCACTTTTTTGCAGGCATGCAGGTGCACACACAAGTAAAATACCTTTCATGAAACAAAGCTAGACAGAGCAAGATTGTGTCTATTTTTAATAAAAAGTGTTCCTGTACTTATCATGGCAGGAGCCATATAAAATACACAGGCAGCCAGATGTAAAACATTCATTCTTACTAAAGTTTCATATTCTGTTAAAGGTAGTGTTTTAAAATGCCATCACTCATTCCGATTTTCTTGTCAGAAGTGCCCTTAGTAATAAATCAAACAATAGCATGGCATTTGTTTGACCTCAGTCAAACATCAAGTCAGTTTTGTTTTAAAATAGCAGACAAGTCTGTACTTTTCTTTTTTTTTTTCTTTTTTTTCCAGAACCCACAAAGAATGCTAAAGACTTGACTGCCTGGTTCAGTCTCTTTGCTGACCTTGACCCGTTATCCAATCCTGATGCTGTTGGGAAAACTGATAAAGAACATGAATTGCTTAATGCATGAGTCAGCTGCCTATGGTAACTCACATTATTCCATTCATCAACACTATTTTGGGGTTTAAAAAAAAATAAATGAAAATTAGTATGCTATTGTGAAACTATAAAGTATGTGCCATGATAATAAAACTAAAGGGAATTAATCCCCTTTTATATAGGTAAAGTTATTTGCTCTTGTTTTGTATAAAGAGTTCGCATTTATTTTCTACGTGGATTTACAAAAATGAGGTTAAGAATTAGGGCAGATTTCTTGCCAAATTAGATTATCTGCTGAAACACTGTCTTTGCCTGAGGTGATGCGGAGCTAACACTGGAGTGAAATACAAATTGCAAACCTATTTTTTTACAATGTTTCTTGAGTAAATAAAACAAAAATCATGTAACTGAGAAGGCTGCATGAGTCAAACATCTATAGTATATAATAGATATATTACTGCTATGTTAGGATGTCAACTAAATTTTGTTAGTACTCACAGTGGAAAAACCTGTGCTGGGGCTAGTTATTGAAGAAATACATTTGGGTCTGTGCAGCCATGGAAATTGTGCCCTTTCTGATTTAACTTATTAGACAAACTGCACCACGTAAACAGAAGCCATGCCCAGCAGGCTTCTTTTCTGAGGTTTTTCTTCATTGCACCAACAGAATTTGTACCTGTTTGCAGAAGTTTCTTGCAACTGATGCTTTACCATGCCTTCAGAACATTCATATTTCTGTTCAGAGTAATTTTCATCCAGTTTATTTTTGAAGCATGTGTTATTTTGAGCTTGTTGTGACATTAACTCTTTAATAAAATGATTTTGACAAAAAAGACCCGTTATCCCACTGGAATTCTGGTGTGCTGTTGAACTGGTATGTAACAAGCATCTGAAGATAAAACATGACCAGTTTTTAGTCAGTACCTGATAATTCATGCTGTTTCCGAATAGTAATCCAGTAGGACAGTAAGAAAATTTGTATTCGCTTGGTGTGTCCCTTTGCCTCCCTGCTCTCCTCTTATGGCAAAGGAAGGGGAAGAGGATGTGTCAGTGGCCACTTACCACAAGTTCTACGTACTGTGTAGGATGTGCTTTGCAATTCATTATATTTGGCCTTTTTAAATTCAATTGATTTTCCTTTTACATGTGTGAAGCTTTTCCTTGCCAGTTAACTATACACTCAGTTAGTTAATCCTTACCTCATGGTCTATTAGATAGACAAGTACCTGCATTGGAAACCTGAAAATAGCTATGTAAGTATGGAAGTTAAGTGAATTGACCTGCCTCTTCTCAAATGAAGCAGAACATCATTTGATGGCTGCACTGGGCAGAGTTAATGCGCAATGGATACCGCCTAGTTAAAAAGCTCCATTGTCTCAGTGGATGGGGGGGTTGGACTGACTGGAGTTCATCTGGAGGAACCCTCAGCAAGCTGTAAACACTTCTGTCCAAAACCGTAGCTTTCAAAATCCCACCCTATAGCCTACAAGTGTCAAGGTACTTCCATTTTTGCTAGAGGAGTTCTTGAGATGTCTTGTATAATGGGAAAGGACGGTCTGGTCTTCTCTTTGGGCAGTACCCAGCCCACACAGGCTGGCAGCACTGAGGCTGGTAATTAGGACACAGTAGCTGATGTAGATATGGATGCCTAACTGTTTCTAAAGATAAAACTTGATTCCACAGTATTTCCTACTGGCAGCTCCTTGCTTGATAAGCTGTCTTTTCTGAGATGTGTAACTTTCTTGAACATTAGGGAGGAGCCTGAACGCCTGGCTTTGGGCTGCAGTCTCTGGCAGTAAATAAGGCATCTACAAAGTGGATTAACTGGGAAATACCTAAGGTTTATGCTGAGGTGCACGTACTGTTATGAGTGCTAGTTTGCACTCATAACACAGGATGTTTGCCCAAAATCCTCTTCGTCTCAAACTGTAACTACCTGCAATCCCAAAAATGTTAGGAGCTCAAGGGATAGACAGGCTGCTGCCACTCTCAGCCCAGCTTGGTTGGGCTGAAATCATTAAACAGATTCTTACAATTTTAAGCAAGTCTGTGGTTGCTAAATTAGCTCTGGATTATGTTTGTCTCGATAGTTGTTAAAACACTTGTGGACGATGCACTCTAGCATTTTTAGTAGCTAAAGCAGTTAGGATAAAAGCAAAGAGGAGGCCATAGCAACCTCAAAGCAGCTAATTAACTGTTCTTTAAGATCCAGAATTTGTGTTTGGTTTTTAGGTCACAGATTCTAGACTTCCAGGATTAAAAAAAAAAAAAAAAAGTTTCCTGTCTTGATTGGCACAATTAAGGGCATTGCACAAGTTCAGCTAAAGATGTCCCAAATCCTCATCATGTTTTTAGGTAGAAAACCAGCTGAATTATCATCCCTTTTACACAAGAGAAGCCACTGCTGGAGGGGTTTTTTTTTCCCCTCCCCCTGCCCAGAACTGCACTATCAATTAGTTCATATTATGCATTAATTTCTTGTAATAAGTATTTTTTTTGAATTAAAGTATGCTTTGAATTCTTAGTCTTTAGTGTATGTAATTTTTTCACATTCTCAAATGATAAAAAAGGAGCCAGAGGTATTTAAAATATAATTAATTTTGCTTAAAGAAAAGCAATTGAAATCCCTATGTACAATGCATTATTATCATGAACATTTATTGAAGTTGAAAACTAGACCAAGAAAGCTAACATCCTGCAAATAGGCATTTTTCAGGCAAAAATCTTACAGAGTTACAATACTTCCCTCCTACTCATGAAGTGTATGGCACATGCTTCCTGGCAGCCCAGGCTGCAGAGTAACTCCATGCACCAGTGCCATTGTGAGAGGATTTTCTGGGATGTGTGTAGAGCAGTAGTTGGGACAACAGGGTAGTTCATCGTCCTGGTAAAATTACAAATTGATTGTTCTACACACATAACGTTTATCTTGATTTAATGTGCTTCATTCCAGCTGCATATTCTGGTTTAGTAGTGGCTTGTTTCAAAATAAAAACAGCTGCAGCACCCCTATGGCAGATGAAAACAGTGGTAATTGATTAACTGTCTTTATTGGGAAGTTTATTAAAGTTGATGTAATTGATTTTGGTGAGTCGAGGTTTCTACAAATCTAAAACCAGTGTCTTCAGGGGAACTGGAGTGTGCACCTTGGGAATTGAACAGCTCATGGAGAAAACTAACAAGTTTTTCAATAACTTCTTCTGGCCCTCTTAAGTGATTAGAATTTACTTCCAACATAGTACAATATGACTTACCTTGATCCTGTCTGCTGTTTCCATATCTAGCATTGCATGGGCATGACACTGATGCACTTTGAAGCAGGGCCACTTGGCCACAAGCAGCCACCTGCCTTTCCCCAACACCCTTTTTTTAAATGGGTACCCTCCAAATGTTATGGATGGCATGTGCTAGGAAAAAAAATTAAAAATGGGCCCACTGGAGCAATAGGGTGACTTGTGAGTGGAGAAGCAGCAGCAGCAGCTTTGCTCTAAGTGGGAGTAGCAGGAGGTTGACACGAGGACACAGCACCCAGGTGTTGTTCATCATGCTGAGTTTCCAGGGCTCCCTGCCACCATCTGCCATCTACCATCACATCCTGCTGCAGCTGCCAGGGATATGGGATGAGCACCACTGAGGAATGAATGGTGGTTGTACTGTCCATGCTTGCAGCTGAGAGCATGCAGGGCGAAATAGCCCCTGGGGCAAGGGAAGAAGAGATGGAAGGTCGTGTCTTCTCTCTGTGCAGTTCCCAAAGATGATTACTCATAGTAGGAGCAAGACACTGACATGGAAAAGGTGCAGCTGCCAGTGCTCGGTCCCTTCTCACTTTTTCAAGATCTCTTCCTCCCAGCATGCATTGCTGTTTCCACCCACTCCATCCAGCGCCCATCTACTTTCTCCTCCCTGGCAGGGAGGCACTGGGGCAGGCTGGGCAGCGTAGGGAGGCCCTGCCATGCCGCAGCCTGGGCAGCCTGCAGCCACGCTCGCTCACCTCAACGGTGAGGAACAGTTGCAGGAGTTGGAATTCTGCCACAGTAAGCCATGGCCAGCCAGGGACCCATTGTATTTCTGGGGGGTTTTTTAACAGTACAGGTGTGTGAGTAACCTGAGGTTGAGCCCTCACTGCAACCCAGGCACACTGTCTCATCTAGCGTTTACTGTAAATCCCCCTCTGGTTAGCCTACTTTTACTATTTCTGTTCCTTGTAAGTGACTTATTTTTAAACAAGCCACCATATGGGAAGGCAGGAAGCAGAGCAACAGCTAGGCTCGCGAAGAGCCAAGCAGCAGAGGGCTTACCTCAGCTGAGAAGCAGAAATGCTGAGACAGTCTAGTGACACGTTAGCAAACTGGGCACAAAGGAGCTGCCGCCTGCTGCTGGGGCTGCCGCCCTCACTTGGCGTGTGCTGAGTGCATAGAGCCCGCTGCAATGCTGCACAGCAAGTGAGCCCAGCACCCACCGCACAGACACTCACACTTGTACACAAGCTCTCCTGGGACAGCAAACAGGGCACCGTGGCCAAACAGGCTCTGCAGGTTCAGCAGGTTGGGCCTTGGGTAACCATCCAGCCTCCAGCTCTGAGGCGCACTGGCTTTGCAGTCAATCAGACCATTACCAGGTGTTCATTAACAGTGCTCTCCTAAGCATAAAATTGACTTTTCCCCTCATTGACTAATTAGAAACCAGTATAATCTTCCCTTTAAGTAACACAAGGTATTTGCCTGCACAGGAGCCCACCCAGTTAGACCTGCTGGAGTGGGTCCAGAGGAGGGCCACGAAATTGGTCAGAGGGCTGGAGCATCCTTCCTATGAGGACAGGCTGAGAGAGTTGGGGTTGTTCAGCCTGGAGAAGAGAAGGCTCCAGGGAGACCTTACTGTGGCTTTTCAATACATAGAGGGAGCTTATAAGACTGAGAGAGACTTCTTACCAGGGCCTGAGCACAAGGGGCTTAGATTGGATATACGGAAGAAACTTTTTCCTGTGCAGGTGGTGAGGCACTGGAACAGGTTGCTCAGGGAAGCTGTGGATGC